GTAAGTGGCTGACTTGTTGCTCGCCGGTACATCAGACGAAGGCCGTTTTCAATGACATTAACCGACAGGGAAAATGTTCGCCGTCAAAAGGGGAATTCAAATTAGTTTGGATATTCTTAAAAATCTTGAAGTGATACTTTAATCAGGTTATTGCAGCCTCAAAGTTTGTTGCTCTTATCATACCTCCGTTCATATCTAGAGAGATGGTTAAAATACGTTTAGCCTTTCATCAGCATTAGGGATATCTATAATGCATGCTCCACGCAACGGCCTACATATTTGCCGATAACGACATATAGAATTCTACTTTAGAAACCTAAACCATCAGTATAAACGTGCCCAGTGAAGTGAAATAGAAAATCTGTAGAGAATCTGGTGGTTCTCCTAGCGGCGTGGCGAGGCGGCTGCTGAGCGCTGAGCCGCCGCCGCCGCCGCATGACGCAACCCCACGCCGCCTTGCATGGGCTCGTCGGCCGTGGTGGCGGTCGCTCGGGCGGTCGCCTCATCAGCTGATTGAAGGCTTAATTAACCGCTAGTCGCCGAATTAATGGAAAATCGTAATCTACCTCGCTGTCAACGGGAGCTCGTACTTTAACCATCGGCCCCGTAATCATGGTAAATTCTCCGATCTGCTTATCTGAGATTTCCGGCGAATTAAGAAAAAAAAAGACTGAAAAATCTTGACGTTGTGATAATTCCCAAGATACGACAGGAAATATACACACCATTCTATGATGTACGTATGAAATAAATCAGTTCTAAATATGAATAGATATAAGATACTCGAATTTACCATCGCATTGATATTGTTTAACGCGTGAAACATTTAAATAAAACGGAAGATTGAAAACAAAATCTCCCAATACCAACCTGCATTTAAAACACGCTTTAAAAATTAATACATCTACACAACAGCAACATAAACGTACCTTTTTTTTTTTTACCTATTTCACCCTCCCATTTAGGACTTCGTTGGCAAACTGGTTTTAACCCAAGATTCCACCTGTCTTCTGGGTTGCTTATCTAACCCTTTCGTGCTATGGTGTCTCTCGGCATTTCGTCCGTGTTAATTATTTTTCATTTGGTTAGTCTATCCAGTAAGGCACTTCTAGTCGGTAATAAAACCGCCATCGAAATATGATTGTAATTTATCGTTATTGTTGTGTGTATTAGTATTTTATTATCATTATCATTATATATATATTATTATCGTTATTATTATATGTAGTAGAATTTTATTATTATTATTGTTGTTGTTATTATTATTATTATTATTATTATTATTATTATGGATATTTTATTATCATTATTATTATATGTATTAGTATATTTTACTATTATTATAGCATTATGTGACAGTAGTAGTCCTTAAAGTTTATTTTTCCTGTTGAGAATTCCTTGCATCTAGTCGCCTACACCTAAATCCTACACGAACCAGTTCATTCACAACCCTCTCTATCATTCACGATCAAAGCCTTAAACATTTTAACGCCCACCCCATACCCCCCCCCCCCACCTCCTCGACAGCCAGGCATGGGCGTCGCCGGAGAAACTCTGTTTTACACTCAAGATACAGCTTTACCGAACACAACCTACGAAATGGATAAAGTATTTCGGGAGTCTCCGGGCGTCTTGCCAACACTCCGTGGCTCGAAAAAAGCATCGGAAATGTGTGTGTGTGCTCCAGGCCAGGGAGTTACAGCTCGTAAACAGTCGAGAGGCTTTGGTGTTCATATCTCGAGATGCTGAGGAAATCTTTTCTTATCGGCTATAGCACATCCTGTTCGCAAGGAGGATTAGATCATCACGTGAAGAGGTTAACGCAAGAACTCGAATTATTTAAACGTAAGAATTGGAATTGTTTAACCGATTTCGAATGCGCTGGGGGTGACTGATCGTATTTTGACAGCACACCAGAGAGCTTGTCATTTCAACGGATAGTAGAGACTGTCATTTTGTTCATACGGATGGGATTATAATCGGAATGGAGTATTCGGTATGTACGGCGTGCTTATCCGGATGTATATGGGGGTTTCTAGCCATTGAAGAACGGAAATTCTTATCTGGCGATACACACGAGAAAAATATCTTGTCACCATTTTCGACTTGTCTCTTTTGAAATGTTTATGATGAAAACTGGTATTCAAATTAGTATCATCATCAATAACATTAACTACATCATCATCATCACCACCATCAACATTAGGTCTTTCATCATCATCACCACACCATCTATCACCACCACCAACATTAGGCCTCTCATCACCATCACCACCACCATCACCACCACTACCATCATCACCACCACCACCACCATTATTATCATCATCAACACCATCACCACCACTATTAGGCCTTTCATCATCACCACCATCATCACCATCACCACCAACAACATTAGGCCTCTCCTCATCACCATCACCACCAATACCATCATCACCACCACCACCATTATTATCATCATCATCAACACCAACACCACCACTATTAGGCCTTTCATCATCATCATCACCATCATCATCATTGATATTTGTATCATTATCGGTAAAAATATTAGTATTAAATATTATTATCACTGTAATTATTATTATCATTAGCGATAGTAGTAACAATAGTAGTAGTAGTCATAGTAATAGTATCATCATGATCATCATCACTGATATTGGTATTAGTATTAAATAGTATTATTATTTGATTATTATCACCATTATTAGCGGTAGTAGCAACGGTAGTAGTAGCAGTAATCGTAGTAGTAGTAGTAATAGTAGTAGTGGCAGCAGCAGCACCAGTAGTAGTAGTAGTAGTAATAGCAGCAATAGTAGCTGTAGTAGTAGTAGAAGTAGTAGTAGTAGAAGTAGTAGTAGTAGTAGTAGTAGTAGTAGTAATAGCAGCAATAGTAGTAGTAGTAGTAGTAGTAGTAGAAGTAGTAGTAGTAGTAGTAGTTAGTAGTAGTAGTAGTAATAGCAGCAATAGTAGTTGTAGTAGTAGAAGTAGTAGTAGTAGTAGTAGTAGAAGTAGTATCATCTTAGTCGTCATCTTTATCATTATCATCATCATTGTTATTTACACTGCTATTCCAATTGGTATCGTCATTATTATTACCAATATTATCGTTATAAAATACCAAATAGCAATGGTAAGGAGATCCACACCACCACACTTATTCTCTCCTTTAATGATAGCATTGGCAACCCCCTTAGAGGTAGACTGTTTACTGTGACATTCCATTGCCCACCGCCGCCCACATTCGCCGCCCCACTCGTACCCACCCGCCCAAAAACGCCCCTTGAAGCCCGTTTTAACTCTCCACTCATGGCAGGACGCGTTGGTGACATACCCACGCCCATCCTCGCCGCCCATGCCACGTTGGGAGCTTGTGTCATCACTATCTCGCCCACACGTGCCCGGTTATTTGACAGGAGATGAGCAAAACCGTAGATTTTAACGAATGAAATGTTGGAATGTAAATATTTTGCGAAGATCTGCGGGTTTTAGGAGAACTTGGTTGCAAAAGTCGACGATTTGCAGTATCATGAATCGTATTTTTTTTGTGTGTGTGCAAAAGTCGACGATTTTCAGTATCATGAATCGTATTTTTTCTATCTTTTTTTCTTCTCTCTCTTTCTTTAGATACCAGGAAATGGCCCGTAGTTATGCGAATATTTTTGAAGATTTGACCTGGGATTTCATGTTTGCTAAGTACAGTTGATATTTATAAGACGTATGACTAACTATTTTTATCATACAATCTAATATTATTTTCTAATGCGACGTATAGTATAGAGGAGTAAATGATAAAGTAGTTTGATAAAAATATGTTTCTGTGTCACGAAATTCAGCTATTTTATTGTCTTCGTCATCATGTGTCCATTCATTGATACTCGTTTTTTATACAGCTACACAATTTCGTGGAAAATATTGCCTCATTTGTTTTACCATCGTTCTCGCTTATCCTTATCTTGCCTTTCTTACGCACCTGGTGCTTGGTCACCCTAATTGCCTAGTTTGTTTTATCATCGTTCTCTCTTATTCTTATCTTGCCTTTCTCACTCACCTCGTAGTTGGACACCCTAATTATCTTATCTGTTTTATCATCGTTCTCGTTTATCCTTATCTTGCCTTTCTCACGCACCTCGTGCTTGGACACCCTAATTATCTTATCTGTTTTATCATCATTCTCGCTTATCCTTATCTTGCCTTTCTCACGCACCTCGTGCTTGGACACCCTAATTACCTTGTAAGTTTTATCATCATTCTCGCTTATCCTTATCTTGCCTTTCTCACGCACCTCGTGCTTGGGCACTCTAATTGCCACCGGAAAAGATGGCATTCTTGGTCACCCTAATCATATCGTCTGTTTTATCATCATTCTCGCTTATCCTTATCTTGCCTTTCTCACGCACCTCGTGCTTGGACACCCTAATTACCTTGTAAGTTTTATCATCATTCTCGCTTATCCTTATCTTGCCTTTCTCACGCACCTCGTGCTTGGTCACCCTAATTATATTATCTGTTTTATCATCATTCTCGTTTATTCTTATCTTGCCTTTCTCACGCACCTCGTGCTTGGACACCCTAATTACCTTGTAAGTTTTATCATCATTCTCGCTTATCCTTATCTTGCCTTTCTCATGCACCTCGTGCTTGGGCACTCTAATTGCCACCGGAAAAGATGGCATTCTTGCCATCTTTTCCGGTGGCAATTAGGGTGTCTCGCGACGCGACGCGACACCAAAAGCTGTCTCGTGATCGGAGGCGAGACAGGCCTCTAAGCTCCGCCCATTTCTGTGACGTAATGGGAATGGCCGCGGTTGACGGCTTGCTATTTTACTGCACTGGTCACTTTTCCGACAGGTACACAGTATTTTGGAATATGCTATCCAAGATGGCTTTTGATGTCTTATCCCGTTCAAAATGCAATTTAGAGGTTCCGCCCCAAAAAGGTGACACATGTACCTACGCCCGCTATATTTAAAGGGAATGCGTGATCTCAAACCGGT